ATTCTTGTCTTTATTTTTCTCTTCTCTTTTTCTTTCCTTTTCTTTTCCTCTTCTTTCTCTTTCCCTCCCTCTCCCCTCTTTCTTTTCTCTTATTACCCAGCCCGGTACGACGGCTTGGTCGGCCGGTAAAAACCGTCAGGGGGGGGGCGGTTTCCCCCCCCCCCCCCCCCCCCCCGCGCCTGTTACGACACTGGCTAACACGCCAATCATCCCCCCAATGAAAAATATTTTTCTACGCCACTGCCAACAATATCGGTTTTTGGCATAAAACTATGGGTTCGTCAAAATTGAAAACTCCTTGGATGATTACGCTCCTTTTCAAAACTTGATCGCGTTTACGACGCAAAAAATTCTAGCGAACTACATAATTTTGGCCAAGGCGACACAAGGTTGGCACGGCGGGTTTACGAAAGGGCAAATGCCTCGCTTAATATGCAATGGTGTGTTTTTGGTTTTTTTTTTTGGTTTTTTTTGACGAAATACTTTTACGAAATAAATGAAATGAAATGAAGAAATACAGTAAACTTGCTGGTGTTTCAAAACCCTATTAAACATTGCACACAAGTGACGGTAAATTATGATTTGTAACTTAGAAATAAAGATGAATTGTTCACAGAATGCTGGACTATTTTAGGTCACTCAATACTTTCCTCCATGTTTACAAACACAACCTGAAGAATATCAATGAATTAATTTAATGTTTTATACAGAGAACCCCTCCTTGGGACAACCATAATAAGGAGAAACTGTTTTCGCCCACGAAATGAGGGAAAAGTACATCGTTTACAATATAATAGACAACCCCTATTTAGGTGACACCCCTAGTTTGGTCCCGAAGGTGTCTCATTTGGGGGTTCTACAGTATTTCGAAAATGGAAAGCCCCGGGTGGACGGCAGCGGTGTCCGGGAACATAGAACCCTTAACCGTCGTCAGAAAAAACCGCCCGGTTTACAGTGAGTTTCATTTAGCTTTAGTTATTAATAAGAAGTGACTCTACAACAATAATCCATGTAAATACTATTCATTATTCATAAAGATTTCCGTTCTCTAATTGGTTACCATATTTAATAAATTTAATAGATTATTCATGAAAAAGCAGCATGATGAATAAAAAGTATAGCCGCGTTAGTCTGTACAGTATAGAAAGTATAAAGTTCAAAACAGCAGCACTTTTGAGACTAACAATATATAATTTATTCTCTAGCTTTCGTCACAGTCTCCTGATGAAGTCCACTGTGTGGACGAAAGCTAGAGAATAAATTATATATTGTTAGTCTCAAAAGTGCCGCTGTTTTTACTTTATACTTTCTTTGAAAAAGCAGTTAAATTGAAATAGAGTCGCAAAAGGTAGATAACCTAGAATATAGGATCACCATATAAAGAATTGAATACCAGGGATGTAAAACCCCAAGTCCTATTGCAATATTCGTGTATACTTAATACGACATTATTTAAAACACGTTCGTTTTAAAATTTTACATATTACAACCCCTTTATTAAGAGAGCACTCCAATTCGGAGGACGGGGACACTTTAACAATAATAATCTTTATTGAATGTACAACCAATAGATAAGACAGTATAACACATACCGTACTCCAAGTATCGAAATGCACGCCATCGTGTCTGGATTCAATATTTTGACATTAACTATGTCATCATCAGGAATCACAACCAATAGCCTTCCACATCACAATAGCCTGTACATCCCGACTGTCCTTTATTAGTAACCAGACACAAATCTGTGCCACTTATTTTTGTTCTCTTATCAATTTTTTTGTGTGGAAGCTGTTGCCTAAATGATTTTATCCATTTTTGTTTTCATTTTTGTCTGATTTCATTTCTATAACAGACAGGGGGTATTTGAGTTGGCATTTTTCCTAAGCTAGGCGTTTATTCTAATAAATACTGTTACTTATCAAATATACGTGATCACAAATGAATTAATTAAAAATCAATATACTTAAGATAATAATTATTTTGATTATTGTACAGTGTGTGAATATACCAAGCAAGTACGAGAGTATAACATAGCAGAACGTATTGCAAGGACGTTGGAGCCACCAGAAAGCCAGGAAACCACATCTATGTCCGTGTCATCCAGTTCTACAGCATCTCCAATGGTAGAATGATACATTTTTACATTTCACAATAATTTACACTTATACCTAACCAGAACCAGAGAGTGCCATTTTCGGAGTGGGGAGGCAAGGGTTTTTTTTTTTATGACGGTCCGATGTCCCATGGGTTTTGTCATTTTTTCATGACAAATTGTTTTTTTCTCCTCGACAGACTATTTTACCTCCTCCCCACCCCCGCCCCAACTCCTCCACCGGAGCCATCCCTGATGGAAGCGGGACTCTATCTGCAAAACTCCCCAAGTGTGCCTCATCCCCACCCCTTTAACGGTGACGGAAACGGGGGGGGGGGGGAGTTGGCCCTTCCATTTTTTCTACTCTTGGACCAAACTCATCGCCAGTAATAAACATAGTTAACTAACGCTATACAATGTCATTATTTTTCAATATTTCTTTTCATAATTTTTAGAGATTTCATCCTGTATCTGATGACCTTTTCCTATGACATCTTTAATTAGATTTTTCAAACAATTGTATTTAAGGCATGAGAATCAGGACACCCATCGAGCAAGCTTCTTAGCAACAAATTTAATTATTTTGCACATTTTTAAAAGCATGATCACTTCTCCTTTGTTGGATAAAATCCATTTTATTTCCATATCAGGTTTTTTTTTATCAACACTAACAATAACATGCACATCTAATAACCTATGAATTACATCTTTAGTTAGGCTTTTTTGAACAAATTACTAAGGCATATAATCAATGGCTACAATTAAGTGTGCTCCTTGGTAACAAATGCCAGTTTTTACGTAATTATTTGGAACATCTGTAAACCCTAACAATAACATGCGCATTAATCAACCATAGCAATAGCATGCGCATCTAATAACCTATCAGTTACATCTTCAAATATACTTTTTTAAACAAATTACTAGGCATATAACCAACGACTACAATTGCGTGTGCTCTTCGAAGGACTGCTATTATTATTATTCAAAATATGTAAAATGATGTCATAGTTGAAAAACACGGAAAGTGACCAATGCCGTTCAAACAACCCTGTGCAAAAATATAGGGAAAAAGGAATACAAAGATAAACATCTGGTTGGAGAAGAGATGACTTCAACATCATACCCTCTTGCTCACAAAAGAGCAGTTTCCTCCCCTTGTTCATTTTGTCGATATGTTTTTGGATTTTGTTCATATGGTTTATCTGATCTCGTTCCACCATACAAATCATTTGGTAGTGTTACTAGGCTTTCGCGTGCTTCTCATCACTTTATTCTGTCAAAGCCGAAGTGCAGAGCCATGGCTTTGTGAAATTCCCTTCCCGAGGACTGTTTCCCGGAGGAATATAACTTCACTTGTTGGAATTGTTGGAAGCATAGAGTGAATCTTCATCTCATCCACTCTGAAGTCGTTCTCAAAAGTTTGCTTGATTGAGATCCTTTTCTTTTTGTCCTGATTTTGTTACTATTTAACTAGCCTATACCTTCAGTGGCTGCTAGCCTTGTATTTGACGATATAACAATATAAATATCCATAAAAAAAAACAAAGAATGAAAAAGAAATAATTGATCGCCCAAATTGCCTCAGAGGTTATTACTACGCGTTTTGAAAAACAAGCATTTCGTGGGGACATTCATCGGACCCCCTCGGGTAGTGTTGTCTCTCGATTCCCCCCCCCCCACCTTTTGGCCCCCGTTTCGGACATCTCTGAAACCGCCCCTGGACGCCTGAGTCCAAGGATGGCCGACACTCAACTCGTGCTGGACAAGGTACATTTTGATAGATCCCTGGCCAGGGCTTATCCACATACTGCAGTTTGGATCCTCCTATTTTCCTTTCCTTGTTTTTCCAATAACATCTGTTCATTTGTTTTCAGCGCATAGAAACCCTCGTATTTTACCGGTATAAATACATAACCTTTTAACTTTCTTCAACCTTTAAGAGGCAATACCCGTAAAGAAACATCGGTTGGCATCGATTCTGGTCATCAGTTTGAAGAGAATCAGGTGTATGATATTCATATACAATTACTAAGCTTACTGAGACTCATCTATTTGGGTTCTGGGTTGGCATTTTGTACTTTTTACAACTAAATGTGATTACACCTATACTTGATTCTCCTGACGCAAATCCATTATTGTCTACCTTATTCCTTCAGGACAATAAAAATTACCATCGACATTGCAGTACCCGCTGCTTACTTGGACTCGAATTCAATTCTGGCTATCAGGCGCGAGCTCGGTGGACTAGGTATGGTGCCAGGCTAGTGATCTGTAGATCGTGGGTTCGAGTCCCACCATAGAACAACTTGCAAATTTTTTATTTTTTTTTTTGCAATTGTTTTCACACGTACTGAGTATTCTGTACATTTCCATGTCAGGTAGGGCAAAATTACACCTATACTTGATTCTCCTGCTCGCAAATCCAGTTATTGTCTGGTATTACATCACGACAATAACAATTACTATCAACATTGCAGTACCCGCTGCTTACTTGTACTCGAATTCAACCCTGGCCATCAGGCGCAAACTCGGTGGTCTACAGGTATGATGCCAGGCTAGTGATCTGGAGATCGTGGGTTCGAGTCCCACCCGAAAACAACTTGCGATTATTTTTTCGCAATTGTTTACACATGCAATGAGTATTTCAGTACATCCACGCCAGGTAGGGCAAAATTACACCTATGTATTTGATTCTCCTGAAGCAAATCCAATTATTGTCTACCGTATTCTATCACGACAACAACAATTACTATTTTATATTAGATTTCAGTTATTTTGATTCATTTACTTCTGGGCCGGATTGCATAAGCGGTTTTTAGACGGTCTTATCGGTTAGCCAGCTATAATCGTGACATCACTACTGGTCTATGATTATAGACCATTGCTATACCGCTGTCTAACCAGTTAGCTTAAATTTTAAAGCCTACTCGGAGGAGGCTTAAAACAGTCTAATTTTCATCATGGCGTTCTGATGATTAATTCAACAGTGCAATGGCAAGACCAAGGCCTAGATCAAAGTCGGAGAACTGCGACGAATATTCCGCACGCTTCTCAGCGTCTGTAAAAATAAGTCTACGTTTATTTCGATACATTTGCGTGCGTCGAGCACGCATGACGTCGCTCCCAATATTACGTTACTAGGGAGTGCTTGTTTGCGTTTCAATACTCAAAGCGGTCTTAGGGAGGACTCTATTATAGCAATGGTGTTAGAGGAATGACTTTAGTAAGACCGTCTAAGTGATAAAGCCGGCTTTATTCGAGGAGTTAAGACTACCAGTTAAGACCGTTTTATAGCAATCCGCCCCTATTACTTATCTTATCTTATGAAGTATAGTCAGGCCTACATACCACCAGATGCTGAGGAAGTCAGGAGCAAGAGAATCAAGGAGAAAATCTTCCAAAGTCTGAACATAATTGTTTCTTAGTATATATGAAGATCAGATAATGCACTCTTTGATTGTTGTACTCTTCGACTATCGCAGACTGTCGTGATGGTAGCGAGTTGTTTTTCGTTGAAATTTGTCTTTTTGTTTATGTAAGACGCATATGGAACTTTATTGCATAATATAATATTCTTCTATTCTTTAAACATACACCCACTTCTCTAATCATTGCCTTTCTTGTGGTGTGTTTCCAAAAAGCAAGAAGATTACAAAAATAACTCTATTTTTTAGCAAGAAGATAAATCTGATTCAAACTCTCGTCCCATTTCGATTCTTTATTTTCCAAGATTCTTGAAAAAATATTTATGATCGTACATAATGATTCTATCAAGAAACATAATTATACTTTATTGTAAACAATGTGGTTTCCGTCAAAAAATATTCTACATCTTAATTTATCTACAACAAAGGTAAGAGTCAACTTCATTGTCAAAAAAAAAATAAATAAAATTAATAAAATTCTGAGATATTTGTTGTATCTTATTGTATAGAATCATTCATTATATATGAAATAAATAGTTAAATCACTCATTTGTATGTCATGCTACTAATAATGCTAATAAGTTTATTATCTTATTAAACTAAATAACAATATTTGTGATTTAATCGAAAATAAAGTCTTTTTTCTGGTGGAGTATTTATTGATCTAAGCCCTTCGATACTATTACGTCATGATATCAGTGGAACCTCCCTCAGCCTATTTAAAGATTAGCTACAATGCGCAGGGTTTTCTTCTTCGTTCTATTGTATTTCTTCTTTACATTAATGATATTCTGAATGCTTTTCAAAAAAAGTAAATTGTACCTTTATGGCGATGATACCACAATATTTTTTTGTTCTGATTCGAACCTTGGTTCTCTTTTACTTTCTATTATTCATGAACTGAAAGGTGTAATTGATTACTTTAATATTAATAGACTTCCGATTACTACTAAGAAATGCAACTTCATGCTGTTCGGTAACCACCACAGACTAAGAAACGATGATATGTAATTAATTAGAGGCCATATTATTATGCCTCGTGTGGAACACACTAATTTTTTAAGCATTAATATTGACCACGAACGAACTTAATTTTAAGATGCATATAAAGGAAGTGAAACTCAAAATTAAAAAGAAATATTACTATCATTTATTGCATTTCTTACCCAGCTTCATACTTCGTAACATTTATACTTCTCTTTTCCTCCAATTTATTAGTTATTGTAACATTGTATGGGCAATAATTACCATGCTAATCTATTTTAAATTCACAAACTTCCAAATAAAGTCGTTGGTTTATATTTTTGGAGCCCCGCCTCATGCTCATTTTTATCCTCTTTTTCGGATTTAAATGTATTTTTACCATTTTTGATATAAATAATATTACAATAATGCATCTATATTTTAAACGATAAACTCCCCTTTTCCAACTTATCAAATTCCGTCTTTAAAAACTCATTTGCATATAATGTATAACACTAGAATCTGTAATAATCTTCATCAACCCAAATTCTTATCAAAATACTATTATAAGCCTAGGGCCTAGGCCAAGTTGGCTTTCATTATCATTATTAGCACTCCTCAATATTATGCTATAATAATTATAATTGCATTATTTTGTTCTCCTGGTCGTTTTTTTTCTTTTCCTTTGTGTGTGTGTGTGTGTGTGTGTGGTGTGGGGGGGGGGGGGGGGGGGGTGTTTTTTTCGAGACATATAAATTAATATTTCATAACAGTGATGAAACTGGAATACGTAAGATTTTGACTTTAGAAACACTAAAATTTATTGGGCGAATATTTTGACTACTCCTGTAGACTTTGTCAACGCTTGACAGAAAATTTAAAAAATTCATGTATGTTCATTGTACGTCAAGCGACGGAAAGATGGGGGGGGGGGGGTGTCCGAGGACAAAAATGAAGATATCTCATGAATATTCATAATATAAAAAACTTTTCTAAGTTTTATGCATAGCGCCCTCAATACGTTCAGTTTAGCAAAAACATTTTCCATCTTTTCATTATTATAATTATTCAGTGTTAAAACAGCGTTGCTTTATAATTGCCGTTGAAAAAGCTTGTCAAATCAGGTACAATGCTTCTGTTAACATTGGCCATAATACTAATTTACATAGGAAGGACTAATAGTGAGTATTTCAAGAACATTTACTTTCTTTTCGATATGACGGCGTTGTAGAAATAAACTACATAGGCCAGCGACTACTGCAGCCTACACTAACAAAAATTCACTAGGCCTAGGCTAAGCCTAGTACAATAAATAGGCTAAATTAGTAATAGGCCTAGTAGGCCTAGGGCCTAGCCTCAAAACCTTACCTCAAATACAGTCTTGCTATGTTATTAACTAATTGTTAAGGTTAGTGGAGTACTAAAGTGCATTAGCGCCGTAAATTTTTCCACAGTTTTAATAATCTAAAATCTAAATCAAATAACTACAATAGCGCAAATTTTATATAACTAGGCCTAGGAGGCCTATTATTATTATATGTTCGTCAATTGGGCATAGGGGTCTAGGCCTACATATTTTTTTTTTTTTTTTTTTTTTTTTTTCCACAACTAACAACATATAAAAACATTTTTTTTTTGTCTTTCCACAACTAACAACATATAAAAGCAAAAATAAAAGGAATACTACTAAGCAAAATTTCTATCAATATTACGATATGGTATTATTAGGTTATTTTCTAGTTTTTTGCACTCCCAGTACCATTTTAATCTTTTATCTGACGGTTTTTACTTTTCGTTTTGTTATTTTTTGATATATTATTTTTAAAAAATCCGCTTTTTATCAAGAAACTCATCCCCTAGCAAACTCGCCCATTGCGCAAACTCGCAATTCCAATTAATTATTATAATTAATTGGAATAATTAGTAAGTAATTAATGTTTGATTTGTCTAATGAACAATTCAGTTTTATTTATAAGATTCACCACATACAGGTTCTTTGGGTTTTTTTTTTTACATGTTTACAGTACTAATATTTAATTAATTTTCAACTTTTTATTTTTAATTCATCCAACAATTGAAATGACTGTATGATGAATACATTACAAAGGACATACACACCCAGACACAATATAGGCTTTGACTGTGTACTTCTAAGTTTTTGAGAAAAAAGTCCTCTTTGTCAGGAACAACCCAGAATTCTGCTGATTAAACGGAAGCATCATAACCACAAAACTACCTCCACGCTTAGTCAGACATCAATTGATTGTTTAGAAGTAATAATTTTAGTGACACATAACAAGCCTGTGGTTTGCTATAAACCAACTATAGTTGCACCTGTTTTTTTTGAGATTAGACAAGAATACTGGAATACCAAGCAATCACTTGTAGAAGTCTATTAATAAAAGTCGTTGTGCAGTCGAAAACTCCCTATTGATATCCACACATCATAGAACTTGTGGATTGAAAATTCTCATTGAGTCAGTCGCTAATCCGGAAGGAGATAAACCATGTGATGATGATTCAATAGTCTCACCTGACAAAGCTGACAGGCATTACGATAGAATTTTTTAATTTCTAACATTTTATTTTTAATTCATCCAATAATGGAAAAGCCTGTGACATTATGAATACAGTTCATACACATGACAAACACCTCCACACACAAGAGGTTTTAGGTGTGTTTTTTAAGTTATGATAAAAAAAATATTCTCTTTGAAGGGGAATTGAGCCCTTGAAGCTAATGGACACATAAAGGATGCTACCTATTTTATACTGATTTGTTTTTGGAGTGGTTTGGCACAGGGTGAGCGGTTAGACTTCCCAACCCTGAGGTTGGGGCGCTGTACATTTCGCTTGCGTCCTTGAGCAAGGCACTTTATCTACATTGCTTTTCTCTACCCAGTAGTACAAATGGGTACCTGGTGGGATTGCCTGCTCCTGCATTGTTTACCAGCATCAACACTTAAACGCATGTGGACCAAATGACCAGGGAAAAGTTAGCGTTTTGTATCAGCGATGAAACCAAAATGCCATTGAAAATTTGATCGACTAAAATAAAATTTGACTTACAGTTAATTAATGAAAAACACAACAATTTGGCATGTAAAATAAGATCAACCTATTCGAGTTAGGCAGGCCCCCCCCCCATCAGGGAGAGCTCGGCCCCCCCACCCCGTTATGGAGAAAAACCACAATTCGTCGAGGAGAAAAAAAGTTATGTTTTCTACACACTGTAATAAGTAGAATCTAAAATAAGCCTTTGAAACCCTTAAATTTTCAAAATTTGCAACCCTGGACAACTTTCGAAAAAAACATTTTGAGCGGCGGTCTACCACGCCCACTTTGCTCTCGTCGGAGAAATCTTCCCCCTCCTCTGGGACCATGGACCCCCTCAGGCAAATCCTGGCGCCACCCCTGCCCATATACAGTATAGTCATGATGTGATGTGATATGACCATACTTAGCAATGTCACATGTTTTTGTCAAATAAAAATATGATAATCTGTACATGTGTGGTTGGTGCAGTGGTTGTGAATTGGGTTTAAACGTGAGGTCAGGCAATTGATCGAACCCTCCCTATTGTCATGATGACATCATATCAGTGGTACTGGTACGGGCATTTATAATGCGCAGGCAAAAAATGACTGTACATGGGCATACAACAATAATTTGATAGCGTCGACAGTGCTCAATGCTAATGTGCTGACTACTGCTGCAATATTATGGTAATCTATTAAATTTGATTAGCCCATAATATTGCAGATTAATCAAATTTAATAGATTACCATAATATTGCACCAGTATGGTAATCTATTATGATAGTCTATTAAATTTGATCCAATGTCAATAAGCTCATCTATAGAGGAGTTGCTGTAAACATGGATCACCATCAAAGTATGTGTACAAGCTGAGGGCCGCACTTGCAAGGTAGAGGGGTAAACTAAAATGCTCAGTGTACACTCAGTGCTGGCTTCAGAAATTTGCTGGCAGGGGGTACGACATGTCCAAGCCAAGGGGTAGAGTATAGCCTCGGTCACAATCTCAGAATAAAAATTTCTAGTAGGGTTCACGGTGAGAGTTTTTATGGCTTAAAATGGATGGACAAAATTGTGGTTTTAGATCACTATAATTATTACTATAGTGATTGGCAATCAAAATAACATTTGGATAGGCAAATTACTATTTATTTATTCAACAATATTTCACGAGGGGGCTCTTGCAGTGAAGCTCACTCAACAGGGTCCTGATACAGTACATATATATATAAATAGGTAGGTAAATGTAAAACTAATATAAGAAAAATATCTCTATAATTTCCAAACAATAAATGAGTACAAAATTTTAAAATGCAATAAACAGACACAGTTTAAAATAAAATGCATGGCAAGACTTTATCAAGATGTTGCTGTCTTATTGATAATCACCAAACCAATCATTTGAACTTAATTAAACTAAACTAAAACCAAGTATTTGATAATAATTTTTTTGGTACATTTGCATTTGTTTTGGTTTTTTTTTCTTCTCTTGTTGTTAAAGCGCCTCGAGGTGTGACAATGTGAGGCCCTATATAAATCCAGAATTATTATTTATTATTCTTAAATAATCTTTAAGATGAGATTTAAAACTGCTAATAAAGTTTAATATTAAAGGCAGGCTCTGGTCGACATGGAACGCACCTCATCAAAATAAATCACTCCGCGCAACTGAAAGGAACTAACAGTTGCGCAAATTTTTCAACATGAGTCAAGTTGAGTTGAGTTCTTTCCAGTTACGTGTCCACCTGAGCTTGCCTTAAGACATTAATAAGTTCAGGTATGTTTAAAATAATTAATTCAGTATGTTGCTAAACTTCTGGTGGTATCTTTATATCATTCACAACTGTAAAGTAAAAAATAAACTGCGAAAGACTAAATGTTATTATTTTTACCAAACATGGCAATTTATTCTACATATTTTGTTTTGCAGGTTTCACGTTGGGTGTGATTGGAAAGCAATATTTGGATATATTAGAGGGCAGTGGTAATGTAACGTTAAGCTGCCCAGTACAAGGCGCCATTTTACCGATCACCTATAAATGGACATTTAATGGACAATCGATTACGGTGAGCACTTAATGCCAACTTCGACCTTTCTGTTATCTAACCAGATTTGAAACCACAGAATTTTCATTGAAATATAAGTATTTTGAAATGATTAGCAGTGCGCAGTGGGGAAAATGGGAAGCACATATGCCTTGTATTGATCTTCTGTGTGAGAATCTATACTACTAAAATAATGTTTGGTGTTTTTCTCTGTCCACCAAATATCTCTGAAAGTATATGAAGTACAATTATGATTTTCAGGCATGTTGTACAGTAGCTACCACCAACAGGATGAACATCCACTACATTAGGACTTGATTTTGTTATCCTATATTTGTTTTTTTGGCAAAATTAACACATTTTTTGCTGATTACTAACCAATCTCATAACTTTCATGACGTCATTGCACCATGCACAAGAGCTACTATGCATGTGTTGCAAGTCCCACATGCAAAAATTCATAGCCATACATTCAGTGACAATACCACAATGCTGCATTCAGACAATGAACACGTCATGAGTTAACACGTTATTATACATAGAAGAGGTTTACTATGTTAGTAAGTTTATAGTAACTTTATACGTGTTGGTTATCAGAACACATTTGTTAATTTTAAGCTATAACCACCTACTTCAATCATAATAAAACATTTATCTCATTCCCAACTTTATATGTTGCATTTTCACATGCAAGAGGGTACTGTACTCCAATGTATTATCAAAATGGACAATTCCTCACAAGGACTATTTGGCAGAGACACTCACAGAAAAAATAATGACAAGGTAACTATAACATCCTGAATGATTGTCTCCTCAACTTTCCATAACATTGAACTAGATGCCTCGCCACAGCTTTTTCACACTCACTTAACACTGTGCAGAGCACGGGTATTACGCCAGTATTATTTATTAACATCATCAAATTGGATTGGATTTATTTTGAGTGTATACACTAAGAATAATCCATGGAAGTCTACAGAAGAATTATTTCCAATGGGTCCTTTTGCTGGGGATTAGACAGTACACTGGGTGACAATCTCCTACAATTTTTCCGAAGAGTGCACTGCATTCTTTACAGTGGACATGGATGGGCAATATTGCACACGGGAGCAACCGTTTAAAGTCTAATCCCTGTCTCTTATACACATCTAGATGTGTATAAGAGACAGCATTTACTCAATACAGGCATGTGCGACAACTTAACCATTTCGCCACGACATGCCTCAATTGCTGTCTCTTATACACATCTAGATGTGTATAAGAGACAGCTAATCCTCACTGCAAATTATTAAAACTTGGTTTTCAGCTTTCAAGTTGAAAACAAGTTGAGCAACGATGGGAAGGATATTTGAATGGGGGACCAAAAAATGTCCACGGTTCAGCGCACAAACAGTGGCTACCACCAGTTTAGCCGGCAGAACTAAGCTGTTCTCATCATTATTAATTCTTTTCATTGTGTGTGTCTGTCAATTGAGGCACGTTGTGGCAAAATGGCTAAGTTGTAGCAAAAATTGAAATTCAAGTTATTGGTATTTTCAGATACCTGAGTATGTGATCTTTAAAATGAGGGGTCATTCATTGAAATTGGACATTTCAAGCCTAAGTTATTGGAAAGTGAATGTACAGTACTCTTAGAATCAAGATAAACATGATTTTGAGTAATTGCCTTTCAAATTTATTTGTGCATACACTGTTTAATAGAATGAACTATCAAAATAACATTAAATAAACAATTTCTTGACCACTTCCAGAACTAATACTTTGGTACATGATTAATAGGACATTAATCTGTTGATTTATAGTGAAAAACAAATTTGGATTTTTAGGCAATTTTTTGAGCTCCCATATTTTATAGCTCATTTACTCAATACAGGCATGTGCGACAACTTAACCATTTCGCCACGACATGCCTCAATTGTGTACTAAAATGTATTTTTCTTGTTACTACAGCAGTTGACAGAACCACCACCTTCACATTTCATAATAGAGGCTGATTTTCTCATGATAAAAAATGCATTAAGGAGTATGCATGGCGAGTTTGCTGGAACGGTCACTGATGCCTCTACTGCTTCTGCTGTCTGCACTTTCAATGTCCAGATACTTTGTGAGTTATTTACATATTTACACCTCAAGACCATAGATTTTAATGAAAATATAAATTTTAAAGTAACATTATAAATAATACTATTATAATCATTAAAAACTGAATATTTAAAAATAAATTCTGCATCAGTTTTATAAATATTTGGAACATAGTTCTGCTAAAATAATCACACACTTGTACGCCATTTTGGATGTTATTGATTGATAGTAGGCAGAAAGAAATATAACAGAAATATTGCTGCAGCTCAATATATCATTGTACACACTACAGATATTAATTGCGTAGGCTTTCCACTGAAGCATGAAGGAAATTAAATAATGAAATGTGTTTAAAAAGGTGATTTAGCTAGAGTGTTGCATTTCAAAGTATTCACCTTCTATATCAAAAGGAAAATAACGCATTAAAGGTATCGTCTTTTAAACATTTATATAACAAAACATACTCTTATATTTAATACTATTGAATAATAATAAGTCTTCTATCTATACATATTTTTAAGCAATGTGTAATATTATGGCCTCCCTTTCTTTATTCGGAGTAGCATTCGTTCAACGTAATAACTAAGTTACTCTGAAGCCTGGTTTTCACGAGAGCCCTAGTATCCGGATCGGGAGCTAACCGTCAGCGCTAACCGTTAGCACCTGCGTGAGAACGCCCGATCGGTTAGCGCTAACCGTTAGCAGTATCCGGATACGACTAACATTAGCAAGCGCTATCGGTTAGCAAGTTGAACGCATTTTTATCATCAACCAATCACACTTACGCATTTACAATTTCCAGTTTCTTATTGGCCAGTGATTCGATTATCATATTTTTGGTATCCGGATCGGGATTTTCTTGTATGGACGCACGGCAGCTAACGGTTAGCAGGATCCGGATCCTGCTAACCGTTAGCAGCTGTGTGAGAACATAGCCTATATTTTGAAAAAGTGAATAAAGTATGTGTTTCTGCTTCTTTCTTTTAGTTTATAAACAACATGTTCCATGTGTTGCAGCTGTTTATAACATTATTAATGTTGATCTGTAATAAATGACATATTAGGATACATTTAACCAACAGTAATTTATAATTGGTTGAATTTAATTTTTACTATAGCACTAATGCAGGCCCGTTAAGGTTCATGGGAAGGGGAGTTTATAGGCCAAATTTAACTCAGAAATATTATTAACTCATAAATATACCCCACCCGGAATGAAGGTAAATATCATACACTTCATTATTTTTATCAACTTTAGTAATATTTTATGAGTGGATTAATATTGGTAATAATATTGTTACAGATGGACCAACATTCACAGCGTTACCCCAGCAATCAGTAGTGGCTCAGGCTGGGCAGAATATAACGTTAACCTGTCCTGTTGATGGCTACCCACCACCAGTTATATACTGGATTAAGAACAGTATACAGATGGGATATACTCGTGATGTCATCATGAACAGTGGCCTTCTTAATTTCCAGTGTAAGTATGCTTCCTTGATTTGATGTATCACGTTCTTCCTGATTGTTAAGAGGTCGTATCTGTCCACCACATGATAATGGCTTATACGAATATGCAGCAGAAATCAAGAGATATAAAAAAAGTACATTTATACTTGCTACTCCAATGCATAAATAGTACATATGCCAACCTCCTGACTTGCACATGAGGCTATATGCAGAAGGCTTACATGGTAGTCTAATGATGAGGCTATACCAATTTTCGTAGGAGGATACCAAATGGGAGGCTATCAATCAGTGGCGGCATTACGAGGGTCTAGGGGAGAAAAACTGGGAGAAAAAAGAACTCAAAAAATTATATGTATTTTGTACATATTAATAGATTATTAATAGATAGGGTTTTTAGTGACGCCCGACCACACCCACTTTTTCTCATCAGGGACATCATTTGGGGGACCTTGGCCCCTTCCCCATCGGGGAAATCCTGGCGCCGCCACTGCTATCAATTTATGTTGGAGTTTAACGATTTATGCTGGGAGGCTACAAATTTACATCGGAGGCTATCAATAGACCTTTCCGCTAAGCCCCGCCCCTTGGATATTGTTGCTAGGTAACGACAATGTTAAAGCATTTATGGCAAAGACAAGCGAAACCAGTCAATCGTCACAAAAATCAATTTTTAGTTATTAATACAGGGTTAAACAGTAAAATGAGAGCTATAAAAGGAAAAAGAATCAAAGTCTGACATTTCGTTATAAAGTTACAAGCATTTAAAGATAGAGCTGTTTAAAGAATAATATCTGAGAAATCGGCCTTAAAAATTTATGATTTCAAGCATTTCTCATGCAGAAACTATCACCAAATTGTTAAAATTGTTGTTTTAACATCGAAAATGGGAAAATAACAGCATTTCATGATTTATAGATATATAAATGTTAGTTTAGTGCATATAAAATATATTTCTAAACTTTTGACATTTCAGCATGTTTTGACTATATTCTCTGAAACACGATTTGCGACAAGTGACTGGTTTGGCTTGTTTTTGCCACATATGCAAACACGTGCGTTTGTGCAGGACAACACGTGTGCTGGCTAGACACGCACGTATTCCTGGCCCTGTTCTGATTGGTCAGTTGTTAACTTGATTGACACTCTGGAAATGCCCATTAAAATGGGAAGGTACCGATGGGAGGTATCGATTTTACAAAGGTGGGAAAAGATTTGCACGGGAGAGAACTGATTTACATTTAATCTGATTTAATTTTAATATTGTATCTCTTCAGATATCTCGGTCTATGATATAGGACGATACCAGTGCAATGCAACAAATTCCTATGGTTCAGTCGTCAGTGAAGTCGTCTCGGTTGAAGTTCAAAGTGAGATTGCATCAAATTTTCTTGCTACCACTGTATACTCTAGTTCATCTCTCTTTAGTCTGAGAAGCATAGAAATACCATTTAACAATACACCAATCAGCATTAAAAAGGCAATTAGACAATGCACCAAACAGAATAAAAACACCATTAAACAATTCAAAAACAGCATTGAAATGCCTTTAAACAATTTACAAAAAAGCATAAGAACACCATAGAAAGAATCACAAAACAGCACTGAAATGCCTTTAACCAATGCACTACAAGTAGTAGAGAAACTTTCAACAATGTAACTGAAACTTAGCTCAGTTGGCTAATCTGGTGGTAGCCACTGTGTGTGCGCTGAACCGTGGTGATCTCTACGTCCCCGGTTCAATTCCCATCGCTGCCTCTCCTTGTGTTTCAGCTAGAGGGCTGAAATACAAGTTACAATAGCGCACCGTCTTTCGGATGAGACGTCTAAGCCGTTGGTCCCGTGTGCATTTATGGCCCATGTGCACGTTAAAGAACGCAGTACACTCTTCGGAAAAGAGTAGGGGATTGTCTCCCGGTGTACTGTCCAATCACCACCAGAAGGACCCCACTGGAAATAAGTCTTCTAGACTTTCGTGGGCATAGAGAGTCATTTTCATGAGATACGTGACTAATTTTAGGATACCTTTTTTTCACGATGGATTTGGCAAGATGGACCAATTTAGATAAAATATAGCTCCTATATACCTCCCAGATAAGGGGGGAAAGTCCCGTTTGGGGGCATTTTTCAAAATGGCCGCCTGTTGATTTGGATGCTTGTATCTCAATAACCACTGGTCAGAGAGACTTGATTTTTGTTCAAATTGTTCACAATATGCATGTTCCTATTTATCACAAAATGGCGGGAAATGCAATTTTTTAAAGTTTGACCTTTGACCTTGTATTGTCATATATCAGTAACTACTGGTCATAGAGACTCACAATAATTGATTGCAAATTGTTCAGGAGATTCATGTTTATATTCGTCTTAGTGAAAAAAATATTCAAATAGTGACAGGAAACAGTACATTCTGACCTTTGATCTATTGTAGGGTCATTTCATGTCAAATCAACCAGATTAAAAAAAAAATTCCTGTATGACCGTCTCAGATTTTCATGACTCCATAAAAATGATCCACTGTGTGAAAAACCAACAACAAAGTTAGCCTGATAGGATATATAGTTTCAGAGATATTGACTCCTCAAAAAAGGGGTGTGGTTCTTTAAGATGTGCAAACAAACACAATTTATTTCAAATTTGGAAGCTTATAACTCGAGATTGGTAATAACTATCAAGGTCAAGCTTGGTATTCTAACTTATTTTTTGCCATATTTCACAAATATGGCCTTAGATTTACAGTTATCCCTTCTCTTTGGAAGTTATCTTTACTCAAAGTAGCCGCTTTGTTTAACGATGCAAATTTTTTGTGATATTCGAGGTCACCCTGGTCCATATGAGTGGGTATATATACCTCATATTACAGATATATTATCTATGTGTAGTTGTCTCTAGCCACATGCAAGCGCAGGCTGATCAAATCAATTAAAATTGAATGGCATATATTCAAAGTTGGGACCAGATCTATAAAAGTGAAAAACGCCAATGTTTCTCAACAACGGATCGTCATGTGGAAAGTTAAAATCTTTTCTTAATTACCCCAGTTGATCAGATACATTAGCTCTACCTATAAACCAAATTTTAGCTTTGGTACTTAGCTCATGGCTAGATACTATGTTGAAAACTACACATATTTCAACATAATAGGAAATCACAAATGTTTTTAATAGTTGGGTCATTCCATGCCAATTCAACAAATGCATTACACCATGGGTCATAGATTTTTTTTTCATTTTTTGGCACACTGACTTAGTGATATAGATATCTATGTGAACTGAAAACCTGAAATTTTGAGACTCGCCAATTCGTTCATTTTACTGTAGCGGCAGTTTGAAGTTAAGGGGGCGTGGCCCAAAATAAATACGAATATAATACAAACTCTAGGAAGTTTCTATTAATGAATCGAACATGAATATATTCATGAAACAGAATAGAGAGTTTCCAGAAAATAATTTACCATATATTGGCCACAAAGAAATGATGTATGTGATGTCCCAATTGCCATGTGCTGTGATTTACTACTAATAAGGGCCGTCACCCACAATACAAATTCGATGAGGTTATTATTACAAAGGTTGAAGTTGTTGCACATTAAGAATTAAACCAGAAATAACTTTAGATCAATAAATTTGAAATTCATAGAAAATTTGATAGGTCTATGACATAGATTTAGAAAATTAAAGCAAAATAAAATTAGGGTATTATTGTTGATGATGTGTTAAAACATGTTTTTAAGGATTTGGAATCAGCAGTAAAAGGTGTCCTACACCACAAAAGGTTAAAGGGGCTGTATAATGATAGCATATATATAAAGTTAATTTGAGGCACACCCTCTTTACGTCGAATTGCCGCTCTACAGGAAAACAAAAAGGGAATTTGAGTCTCAAAACTTCAGGTTTTTCTATTCACAAGGCCGGAGGGTGCAAAAAATTAAAAATATATGACCTGTAATGTTGTAATGCATTTGTTGAGAGGCCACGCCCCCTTAACCTCAAACTGCCGCTACTGGAAAACGAATGAATTGGCGAGTCTCAAAATTTCAGGTTTTTCAGTTCACATAAATATCTATCACTGTGACAGTGTCCAAAAAAAAAAATTTTAAAATCAATGACCCTGGTGTAATGCATTTGTTGAGTTGACATAGAATGACTCAACTCAACTTTCCGATTATGTGTGTAGTTTTCAACATAGTATCTAACCATGAAGGAGCTGAGTACCAAAGCTGAAATTTGGTTTATAGGTAGATCTAATATATCTGATTAACTGGGGTAAATTTAAGAGAAGATTTTAAATGTCCACAATATGGCGATCCGTTGTTAAGAAACATAGGCCTTTTTCACTTTTATAGATCTAGTCCCAACTATGAATATATGCCAATCAATTTTAATTGATTTGATCAGGTGGCCATTTTGAAAAATGCTCCCAAACGGGACTTTCCCCCCATATCTGGGAGGTATATAGGAGCTATATTTTATCTAAATTGGTCCATCTTGCCAAATCCATCGAGAAAAAAAGGTCCTAAAATTACGGATCTCATGAAAATGACTCTACTACTATCCTTGGTGTTTACACCGAAAAATCCAATCCAATCCAACTTTATACAATATTACCATGTAGCTGTATCCAAAAGAACATTTTTATGAACCCCATATAAAGAACACCTAACAAATAGGTGTAATATTGCTGATATATTTGATATTGAAAATCCTTGGTGCATGTGTTTTGTGCCTAATAAATAAAATAAATAGAATAAAATAAATAAATAAAATAACTAAATAAATAATTTTAAGAATTGAAACAAGAAATGCAATAAAAGCAAGCATTAGTACAATTAAACATAAACTGGATGTTTCCTGTTCCCTTAATTTTGTTTTAAAGGCGATTAGTTTGCTGTACAACAGAACGAAAGTTATAGCTTATAGTATTTTTTTAATATACAGTGAACACAGCATAACTGTTTCATGCATTTATTGAAAGAGTTGGTGTAATGGGAGAACAGGATGCTGACTAACGCATCTCATAATTAGGTCTTTCCTTCGATACAACAATCCACATTGCAAACCAGTATTCAACCTATGAACCAGCTCAGCTTTGAAACATGAACACTAACCTACAGGTACTACAACTATGCAACTCAAATTTATTTGCATTGATAAAGTAGTAATGACAAAACACCAGAATAGGAATAATAAAAAAAAAGAAAAAAAAAGAATTGGAGTTTAAAGAAAAAGTAGTATAAATGCAAGTGAGACATTGAACCTTTTTATAGAAGAACAAAAGGAAACAGTTATAGGTTAACACCATACATACTCTCACTCTCAATAAGGAACACAGCACAGAGTGAAGGAAAAAAAAACTTGAAGCTAGTTAATGAAAAGAGCAGAGGTGGCGCTAGGATTTACTAGAAGGGTCCGAGGCCAACAATTGGTGGGTGAGGGGGATGTGATGTCTTTGATGTGAGGGCAGATGTTCCTGACGGGAGCAAAGTAGGCATCGTCGAGCATCGCTCAAAATATCTCAAAAGTGGTCGGGGAGGGGGACAAAGCCCAAAAAATTTTGACAATTTAGAGGTTTCAAGGACTTATATATATTTAGTCTAAACATGCAGAAGATACATATAAGGAACACAGTTAATCTTAATGCAGGGGTTCCAAGTCGTCTGGAAATTAGGAACATCCTTCCGCACTTTCGCAAGCGTGAAAGAATCTCATATCTCTAGCAAATGATTTGTGTGATTTTACTACTTTATTATCAATTTCCTAAAGGGAAATTAGTGTTGATGGTGACCAATGCAGCCAAATACAATTAATTAAGAAAGCTCATTTAACCAAATCTCCTGGATAGGATTTATTCCAACTTAGGCCGCTGTTTAAACTGTAGTTTTTCAAAGAAAAATTACTGTTGATAGTAACTTTAGTATGAGGATACCTCCACTGGTGGTAATTAAAGATAAGTTAGTTACGACAATGGCTGTATTCGACTGGTCATTCTTTGTTAAACCACGCCCACCTGCACAGTGGTAAAGTCGAATATGAAAACTTGTAAATACTCGACAAAACAAAATGGCAGCATAGTTACTGTGATACACGCTGCGTAAACAAAATTGCTTAACAGAACGCAAATTATTTTTAATTAGTCTCATTGAATTATTATTATTATTATTATTATTATTATTATTATTATTATTACTGTTGTTATTGTGGTTGTTGTTGTGATGAAAAGTTAACACAAACGATATGGTGGCTAAACGAATATTACATGTAAAGATTTTTTTTTTATTTGTTTGTTCCCCGACAAAATTTATCGTCTTCCCCGACAAGGGGGGCTATAGCGCCACCCCTATTGTGGCAGTATGGGTTTTTTGTAAAAAAAATGTTTTCATCCTTTTTTGAATTCTGTTAGCCTACAATTATTTTTTGACTTCATGTGGGTAAATATTATAATGTTTTTTTTCTGAAATTTAATCTAAATTATATTAACGCAAATGTTGTTTCTAAACTGACCAATCATCAATTTTTGTTTTGGTCACATGGATAACTTTAATGCTGATTACCGCATTCTGGTTGGGTTCATTTTCGTTGTCGACGAATACTATTTTACGAAACAGTTGAATGAAAATAATACTCAACAAAAAATCGTTGTCAACGAAATGAGCCAGTCAAATAAGCCCATTGTGATATTTAAATTGTTTTCTTGTTTCTTTAGTCCCATTATCAATTGCTGGAGTGCCTGACAATCCTACAAGCCTAACAAAAGGAAGCAATCAGAGGCTAGTTTGTAATTTCACTGGATATCCAACACCAGTTGTCACATGGTATAAGGTATTGTACAAATCTAAAGCTCTGTCCACATTATCAAATTTTCTTTGACAAAAAATTGTATGCCCATATATATTCATGATGTGCCCATATATAGTCATGATGTGCCCATAAATAGTTATGATGTGATGTCATCATGACCATATTTAGGCATGTCATATGTTTTGTCAAATAAAATTTGAGTGTGGACATGGCTTAACTCCTGCAGGGCTATCAAGGATGCTTACACCTCTCTAGCCAATTGATATCAATAAATAAAACATTTTATATTTTATTTCAAGTTTATCATGATGGTGGGTGTGTTAACAAGCTAAAAATAAAAATGTTAATTCTGTCTAAATCTTTTTGGTGGGCAACAGATTTTGTTTACAAGGTATAAAAATGTTTAGCTCAGTTGGCTAAACTGGTAGTAGTCTCCATGTATGCGCTGAACCATGGAGATCTGGTCCCCGGTTTAACTCCCATTGCTGCTCTCCTAGTATTTCAGCTATAAGGTTGAAATACAAGTTACGATAGCTAGCGCACCATCTTTCAGATGAGACATTTAAAACTGTTGGTCCTGTGTGCATTATGTGCATATATTAAAGAATGCATTACACTCTTCAGAAAAGTGTAGGGTATTGTCTCCCGGTATATAGTCTAATCACCACCAAAAGGACCCCACTGGAAATAAGTCTTCTTCAGACTTTCGTTGGTTATCCTTGGTGCATACACCGAATAAATCCATCCATCCATCACCCCACCAATTAAATTAATGAATGCTTGATTTAATGTGTTTTTATCTTTGATATAGGACAATAGACTTCTGCGTAGTGGTGTTAGCTATTCGATTGAGAATGGTAACTCTAAGCAGAACGCTTGGTCTGTGTTGATATTCAAAGGGGTAAAGATGATAGATGCTGGGGAGTATCGTTGTATGGCAGTACAAGACCAAGTCAATCCATTATCGTACACATTCCAGGCTACGATAGCAAGTAATATAGCGCCTTCATCAAATCATTTATTTTCTTTCTTTTTCTTAACAGAACAATTTATAAAGTAATCACTTCCAAAGAACTGTAAGAGATACAGTTTGTGTAGGGTTGCTCAATAAAAAAAAAATACATAAAATAATAAAAACCATAATAATAAAAATGAAGGTGATATTTTTAAAATACTTGAACTTTGTATTTGTTTTCTGACAGTATCACCTGAAATTGTGTCCGTACACGTTCGTGAAAAGTCCATCAAAGTAGGACTGCCAGTGATTCTGAACTGTAAAGCCAGTGGAACACCAGCACCTACGTATACCTGGCATCATGATCAAAAGGTATGCTTATACTCGATACACTCACAGAAAATGTTACACAGGGTGCATGTTAATGTTACGCAGGGTGCATGCTAATGTTACACACTCAGCCATGTATCCCTACAAAAAAAAAAAATTAGTACAGACAATGAAGATACACACAATGCCACAACACTACCACATACCACTACCATGCCACACCACTACCATGTACACATATCCAAGCTAAATCAGTGTTGGTTTGTTTTTCTTACATTACACAGGATTGGTAATCTTTAATATTGATATGCCCTTAAACTGGGATGCTTGTTAAAGTATTGCTACAGACCAATGCATTAGTTCAAACCCAATGCTACAGACTACACTAATAATACACTGCTGCAGACCAAGGCTCTCAAACCATGGGTTCAAACCAGTGCTACAAATGCTATGAATCTGCTATAGTTCAATGCTACCAATACATTGGTTTAGAAATGCTACAGACCAGTGCTACTTTAATACTACAGACCAATGCCACAGACCAATGCTACAGACAAATGATATACAGTTATAGTTGTTCAATTCTACCTATCCATTAAGAAATGCTACAGACCAATGCTACCAATATGATACTACAGAACAATGCCACATACCAATGCCACAGACCAATGCTACAGATGTACTGTAGGCAAATGCTACAGGCTCTTCTATTACAAAACCTCAAATAGTAATTGTAATTTATTTTACAAATGAAACAAATATAAGGTACAACACTTCTTCTATAGGAAATAACGTATGGCACCCACTATCATAGAGGAGTAAATGATGGCGACCTTGCTATTCAACGAACTCTACCAGACGACCAAGGGACATACTCATGTACCGCGTCAAATGTTGCAGGCACTGCAAGAAGCGCCACCACCTTACTAATAGTTGAAGGTAAAGCATGTAAAACATCTACTTTTGAATTTGGGTTTGTGACTGAAAAACTAAAAATATTTAAATGGTATTTATTTTTTGAATTGTGTCTTTAATATAAATTTCAAATAGGTTTTTTTGACAGACCATTTTCGCAAAATTTGAAACGAAAATTTCCGATAACCTGGCAACTACCAGTGGGGGACTTTCAGAGGCCTAGTATTTCTCTCTACGATACCATCATGGATTAAATCAACAATAAAACTAAATTACTAATGAGCACAAATATTTTAAAATGGAAAAAACATGAAATGTTTATACTAAAAACAAGTCTAAATCTTAAAAAAAAGTTATTTCAATGTTTACAATACAGCAATTACAGTAATTAGCAAGATCACATCTGTTGTCTACTGGTGCTATAGCTAAGGTCTATAGCAACGATATCTGCTGTGCTGAGGTGCTCTATTTGTAACTAGTCAGCTGCTCAAGCTAGGCTGCTGGAAGTTCCCCAGTGAGTTGCAAGACGTTGGCGCTGTTTCAAAATATATGTGATAAAATTGTCTGTATTATCAAAGATTAAGCTACACTGCCACCAACATAAATCTGATATAAACATTAAATTCTACATGTTTAAAACAGCAGTGGCCTATCGGTGGGGGAGGGACAAAAGTGAAGTGGGGTTCGATGATTAAGTGAAGGCATGTTAACTCACAAAATGAGGTAGTATGAGGTGATTTTTAGTTCCTATGCAATGTAATGCAATAGGAACTATTGTAATCACTCTTGCTATTTCCTATGTTTTTTATTGTGTGTAGTGTGTATGTGTGTGTGTAGACATTTATGCAAATGCGCATGCGTCAAAGAAAAGTTTTCCAACAT